CGGGGGGAGGGGGGGGCGGGGGGGGGAGAGATTTCCCAACCTTCTGGCCCTGCTCCTATTAAAAAACCCTGAAGTTCAGCTCTTGACTGCCAAAAGGTGGTCCTCCCCTGCTGTAGTCTATAAGCTTCCTGAACTGTTTGCTGAATTAAGGATGTCAAAGGCAATTTTCTGTGAGACTGCAGGGAAGGACCCAGCTAATTCTGCATTTCCAAAGTTTGGATGAGACCAACATTTCTTCCTTTGTTTTTAGGAATGTGAAATTTTAGATATCATCATGAAAATGTGTTGTAAGTATTTGACTTCAGCTCTTGCACAGTTAACAGGAATGTCACTGATTAACTAAGTGTTACCATAGTAAGAATTGGCAACTTGCTGGTTTTACCAAGCCACCACCTCAAACTATACAGTGCGTCTTCAGGTTTTCCAACTGATGCATTCCCAATATATGTGATTGGTACAACTTTTCCTAAATTAACATTGGATTCCTTAAAATTTAATGGGAATATAGGAAGTATGAAGTTGCTTCAGCTGAACCACCATAAGCAAAAAATGTGTTCTTTTATAGCTACTACAGCAATCCATGCATAACAAATTGATTAGAACCAGACTAGATCTTGCTTTTCACCTACTTTTGCTGTTCTGAATTTCCAGCAAAGTGACACATTTGAAAGCCAAGTTCCACTCGCTTATTTGTTTGGATATTTTAGGTGATATATCAAAAGTTTGTCTTCAAATATTGTAAATGAATGACAGTAAAGGCATAACCATACAAAGGAAGACTCAAATAATTCCTCCCCTCACATATTACTGTGTATTCATAATACACAAGCAGGGACTCCAAAATCCTACATCCATCTGAAAATCCTTTGTATTCAGAGAGGGCCTTGGGACTGCCTCCTTCAAAGCAACATTCACTACTTACTTACTGGATTTATATGCCACTAAATCATATAGATTGTACTATGGACACAATCAGTTATTCTCCTCAGAAACGCCTCTGGTCAGCATTACTCAAGAGCAACGGTGATAGAGATACATAATTTCTCTGTTACCATCTCTGCCACTCAGGAAGCCATTAGAGGAGCTCTGAACAGTGTTTGATGCTGTTCAGTTTCCTTTCTTTGTTTCCTAACCTTAACCCAGTTTTGCATGCTTAGATGCCTGGAAAATCAGGTGCCCCATGCCTTTTTGTATTGTATACCTTTTAATAACATTTGTTAGGTGGAAAAGGTGCTATCAGATTCTTTTTCATTTTGGGCTCTCCTCCGATAACAAAAAATCAATTTAGCTTTGACTGCCAAACAGTGGTGCCTAGAACTAATGTTGATAGCCCAAGAATCAAAAGTCCTCAGTTCACTTAGGATAACGATAATACACAATGTATGCCAAAAACAAAATTATCTGAAAGCCAAAAAGAAGTTGATATAACCCAAAACTATTACTGTGTCAGTTATTTGTTTATTTATTTATTTTCTTAATGTACACGAGAGAAAAAAAATTAGAATGTGCTGCCTTGGAATGGCTGTTTGGAAAAACAAAATATGCAATTTGTTTTTATTCTTTATTTATATTTTGAACAATATGGTTGTATTGCTGAATGACACCAAGTAATTATTTATTGCATTTCATAAACTAGAAATTGTTAGAAAAACAGTTCCTTCTTACATGCTGCTTGCATGCCATTTTTAATTAATTGAACAACATTTATGTTTCTATACCAGTGAAAATGAAGATTTCTTGTGTATATTCTTTTTTTAAGCATCCTTGTTTGGAAGTGAACTACAGATTAATTATTTGTGGCAAATGCAGTAACAGATACCATGCAGCTAAAAAACAGGTGAACACATTGAAAAAGGTCTCCAGCTTTTTTATTATATTCCCCACATTTTCATTTGTTTAATATAGTAGTATATTAAACATCTGGGATGTGGGAAGCATTATAAAGTGTAGCCAATATGAAGGGAAACATTTCCAGTCTGTTTAAACTGCGTCCCTAGCTATAAGCAGCAGTGCTGGATGTATTTCAGCACTCTTTGAATTTGCAATGCTTGTGTTTCTGAGTACATTTTATTTTTCTCCCCTCCCCTCCCCCTCAGCTTGCTGTGGTAAGTGTCCTAATTGCAATTTCTTTACCATTCCTTCATTCATATGTATACCAAGATGTAGATGGAAATTCACTCTCCAGCCCAGTCTTCAGTAGTGGGCAGTCCTAGAGTTAACTTCTCTAAGACTGCCTGCTACTGTCATTTTTTCAACCCATTGTTACAGCTGCCTGCTTCTAGAATTCTAAATTAATTGCCATATCTTGTTCAGCTATCCTGGTGCCCCAGAGATTCATGCTTAGCCTTACTAGCTAGTTAAAATAATAGATGAAAAAAAAAGTGGAGAACCAGAAAAGACACATTTATTCTCAGTATTTGTCATGAGAAGGATATTCTGATGATACATTTATAGAAATGATATATCCAGATATTCAAAATTGACCAGTTGAATACAAAATATTTGTCTGAAAGCTCCACTCAGCACTGCTTATCCACTATTGCCACTTATTCTGCCACTTATTATAATATATAATATTCAGAGAGTGAAAAATTATAACTTACACAACTCATAGTAGTCCGTGAACCGAGTTTATAACAACAAAAATGAAAAAGTCACACTCTGGTCACTGAAGTAGAAAAATCATAATGAATGTCTTCATATAAAGCAAACTGTTTAAAGTCACTTAAGTAAACATGAATAAGATCATATTTAATATACAAGATTATATATGATCAAATGTGTTTAATCTATGTATGGTCTTTCTTTGTCATCTAATAATAACTTAGTCATTTCCACTGTCATATTGCACATAAAGAGCCATATTAACTAAAACTGTTGTTAGATGTATAATTAAAATTACCGGCTTAGCAGTTTCAGTTTGATGGTTACACAGATAAAATATATGGCTCTCAAGGAAAATAGTACTGATTCTATTCTTAATTCCATGTTATTAAGTGACTGAGAACATTGTATTAATTATATATCAATATTTTTCCTAAAGTACAAACTTTACTGGAAAAGATTTTGTATCTCTGTGGAATCTCCATTGCATTTAATATATTTCATCAGCTCTTTGATTGCAAAACTTTACTGTGTTACTATTTACAGCCTCTGTCAAGAGTTCAAAGAATATTCTCTCTCAAAGTCGAGTTGTTCAAATATCAGCCTGTCTATCAAAATCCCATATACTGCTACAATTTCTACATGATCTAAACTTCTCAGAATAAATTAAATAGCTGTGGAATTCTTGGGTTCTCTGAGCTTGGTTGTTTTCTTGCAGACGTTTCATTACCCAGCTAGGTAACATCTTCAGTGCTAGAAGCACTGAATTAAATAGCACCTGATATGTGCAAGGTGGCAAGTATCATACTTTAATTAAGAATCAAAATCAATTTCCTTAAATATTTACTTGTAGTATTCAGGGCCTCCTTAAGACAGATTCCTAAATCAATAAAATAGATGTTATCAATTTGAAATGTGATAATTATTTTTGTTATTTGCATACCATGCCTTGATAATCAAAACAAGAAATCAAACTTTGAAGTAGATTTTAAACTGGGGTTTGCACTCTGTCTAGCTTGTATCATGACTCAGCTCACAAACCATAATTCTTGCTGTCTTCGAAGTTATATTAGAAATTGAAATTCCAGTCCAGGAAGTAATTCTAAACAATGAGTTCATTGGACACTTAGATATGTCAGTTACATTTTGAGTTTTAAGCTACGCTGAACATAAACCAGTTTGACACGATACCTGAATTTAGCCTTAAATCATCAAGGAGACTTTTATTGACTCTTGGTGCTATAAATGTTATTGGTGAATAAACTTCTGAAAAATATAATCTTCTGCTTCTACAGTATCTTGTGCTTTATTACAGAATGCAGGTGTGGTCCAATTGATATTATATTCGTACTGGACAGTTCTGAGAGTATTGGACTAACAAACTTTGGCATTGCAAAGGACTTTATTGTTAAGGTTATTGACAGACTGCGCACAGAAGAACATGTAACAGTAAGTTATAGTGCAATCATTCATACATACATACACACACACACACACTGTTGTCTTAATCAGCTTAAAAAGCATACTTTCTTTCAGTGGCAATGTGTATTACCTTTATGTCTTTTAAAATGTTGTGAGCCAGCCCTGCTGTGTGCTGGGCCCTCCTGCCCATTCTGTTGAGCAATGTCCTGGTGCCTACCCCCAAGTCTTTCCCTGATGGCATCTCAGAGAATAAGGCTAATCATTAGTAACATCTATTGAATAACATGCGGTAATGCATTGTTACCATGAAACTTTTTAAGCAGGTCTCTCTTGAGATATCATAGTCCAAATATTATAACCTCTAATTTTTGGCTTTGGCTATAACTGTTCCTTGGATACTATTTCTTTGACAGTTCTCCAGAGAGGAATCCAATCTTGCTATTGTGCAATATAGTCATGGTGGAACCGAGGAACTGGTGCTCATGAAAGATGGAGACGTTAAAGGTTTCAAGGAGTGAGTTTATACCAGATGCTTATGAATTAAAGATTTCTTGTGCTCTGCCTTCTATGTCACAACTCTGTTTGTGATACCTTTCCCATGTTTATTTAACTTTGTAAAAAAACCTTTCGGGTATTAATAGTCAGTACTTGCAAAAAGCTGATTGCCAGGATTCCATCATGTGTGTGTGTGTGGATGACACACCATTAAAGCTTCCTTTCAGTGGGGTTTGTCAAGTGATCTTCCAGGTTTAGTACCAAATCTGAAAGTGTTTTTGAGTTGCCCTTGGACGCTTTGCGGGTCGCCTTGCTGCCTTGCTCTTTAATGGGAAGAAAGGAAAAGAACTGGATTTGGGGGAAGCAAACAGCTGTTTTTATGCAAAAAAAAAGAGAGAGAATAGAATAATCAGTCAGTGTCAGCGACCCTG